AAAGAGTTTCTCAATTTCATTTCTATACGCGCCTCTCTGTCCAATTATTCCCGCGAGATGAAATCCGACAGACTGCTAATGCAGTTTATTGACGTATATAAGCGGTTACGCATGCGGAAATATATATGCCGTATCGGATATTTTTCGAGAAATCCATAGTTGTAGAAGAATTTCAATCTATCTCCTCCAAGTTTCACTTCTGTTGCAAAATATTATTGACTGGCTTTCGACATTTACGTCGCGTGCACGTTTATTTAAAATATTCCCTCCACTTACGTCCAAGGGATTCTGATTTGTATAGAGGATGAATCTGGTATTGATGACGTCTCGCGGCAATGGGAAAACGTTGAGGGGCCGGTGAATAAGATGGTACCAGCTCCTGGTGATGTTCAGGCAGCCCAGTTCGTCATAGCAGCGCGTCTCGTTCTCGACTATAAAAATACCATCCTTTCAATGACGCGTTAATTTTGTTAAGTTTTACTCAAATCGTGTCGTTTATTTTACGATGTGAGACTTCACGCGATTATTCTTTTTTAGACGAGTCTTAGAGAAATAAATGGGCGCGTGTATAAAAATGTAAAGAACGTTAAATAAAATATACTTGTATCATTATCTCGTTAATACTGTTTACACTGCGATTGAATTATCTGCAATCAGTTGATATGATGATAATTACAAGGTAGCCAAGGTATATTGACTTCGATCCGATCGCTGCGCGCCCACTGCCAAGGGTCCAGGATTCCGGCGGAGCAGATAACAGGAGTGAATGCGACGAGGAGCAGAACCAATGCTCCTTCACCGTTGCCGCCGACTCCTCGTCCGTTCATACCGCTCCTCCTCATCCTGCGGAGAAACACAGGGTGGGTCGATTATCATTGATATTCACGATTGAAAACGACGGTGATGGTGTAAACTCACATACTGGCACTTCGGTCACGTGTCGCTGATTCTTTTAAATTCTCTTTTTTTTTTCTATCACGTCGGATGTAATATTCCTTTTCAAAATCAAAAGGTTGTTATGACGATAAATAGAAATTAAAACTAAATTGAATATTCTTGTGTGAATTGAAAATATTGCAGGCGCACTGAATCGGATATGATGAAACCGTTGAACAGATATTGACGATTTGCCAAGGCTATGTTGGACAAATGTCGTATCGCACAGGGGGTTGAACAGTCACTAAATATCTGAAAGAGGACGAACGTCGAATCTGAAAGAGTCAAGCGCGATATTGGTGGGGATTTTCGAGCTCTCGCGAGAGAAGAAGGTCTCAATTACATCGTTTATGAGAAAAAAAGATAAATATCCAAGAAGGCCGTCCGCAATTCGCACTATAATTACCTTGAAACATCGGCGTTTGCGAAAAAAAGAAACAAATCTCTTCTCGTCTCTGGAATGACAGTTTCGCACGAGTAGTTTTATCGAACTCTTACACAAGATCGGGAAAATATCAATCATATTTTTTAAGATTATATAATTGATGTAAACAAATTTAATTGAAATTTTTTGGATTGACGATTAATTTGAGAAAAATTAATTGGAGATCGTTCGATGTGACGATTGATATAAGCGAGATTAATTAAATCGCTTGTATGTGATTAACAATTTATAAACGAATTTAATTGACATTTATTCGATTGATGATTAAAATAAGCGAATCAAAGATCATTCTATGGACAATTGGTATGAACAAATTCAATTAAAAGTTATTCGATAGACTATTGAACCGAGCAAATTTAATCGAAGACCGTTTAATTGACAATTGATTTGAACAAATTCAATTAATAATAATAATAATAATAATAATAGATAATAATAATAGAATTATTAAATAAATAAATAGTGATAATCAAATAGTAATATTATTTAAAATAATAAAAGTGATTCCGAGATGACGAAACATTGTTGAGAATAGATTAACTTTAATGGTACAAAATAATTTACAGTTAATACGAATTATTTTTCTCTTTGTTTTTCCCTCCTTTATATAACGCGTTGTATTTCTAACAATGCCCATTGTGAGATAAATCGACATCGATAATAATTCTTGCCAGACGAGAGGATCTTTATCTGCCCGAATCGTCGTTATCATAATTGCATGATATGTATGGACATACCACGATTCGCACCGCGTGTGGCCAGCATGTAATGATACGTTGGCGGTCGCGACGCGACAATAGAATGAGGAACAGTAATAATAATAATAATAGATAATAATAATAGAATTATTAAATAAATAAATAGTGATAATCAAATAGTAATATTATTTAAAATAATAAAAGTGATTCCGAGATGACGAAACATTGTTGAGAATAGATTAACTTTAATGGTACAAAATAATTTACAGATAATACGAATTATTTTTCTCTTTGTTTTTCCCTCCTTTATATAACGCGTTGTATTTCTAACAATGCCCATTGTGAGATAAATCGACATCGATAATAATTCTTGCCAGACGAGAGGATCTTTATCTGCCCGAATCGTCGTTATCATAATTGCATGATATGTATGGACATACCACGATTCGCACCGCGTGTGGCCAGCATGTAATGATACGTTGGCGGTCGCGACGCGACAATAGAATGAGGAACAGGAAGGCAAAGCTTCGTTGAACATCTCGATTACATAATCGGTATTTGTAAGAGTCTCGACGCCGTCTCTTTTCTATTTATCACGATAGCGAAAAATGCTATTAATTGCATTATACGCGATTAATGACAACGCGCGAAATCGCTTTAAGCAGTTTTCCGTCATAGGATTCTCGATTTCGAATATCGAGAAAACGTTTTCTCGCTGTTCTAGTTCCTCAGCCTTCGTTATCTTACGCAACGACGAGGAGCGAGACGTTATGTCACCGTGCATGAGTATCGCGCCTCATCGAACCTAGATTATGTCACACGCGTGTCGCACTTACGTAGAGAGGATTCACGAGTGCAGAGACATTTGCAAGTTTTTTGAAAGTATTTTCGAATGTGGCGTTATCGCACTAAAAAGTTGTCATTGATAGTCGCGCTTTCACCAGGCCGCTTGTTCGTTCGTGACGGGAAACGTCGCATTCGAACATGCGATGCCTCGTGACAATCGATCGGTTTAAGTGCATTTTCTGGTGAATAGATAGGTTGTTCCGAGTAGTTTTGAGATTCTTCAATCGGCGATAAACGCGGGAAAGTACAACGTTATTTCTTATTCCGCAAAGCGGGAAATTACTATCGTAGTGATGATCGGTGGAGAATATCTTTGTCACACGAATCAGATTGATATATTTTCGCAAAATACGCTGAAACTCAAGCGAATTCTCAGCTTGAAAATTTGGATTGCTTATGATTATATTAAGATTTTACAAAAATATATTATCGCGGAGCTAAGGCATTTGTGATGAAAAAATTTGAGAACCGATTAAAATGCGAGTTGCCCATTTTTTCGTTTGTGACAAATGAGTCGAGTTTAATCATTATTGGACAAGATCGGGCAAAATGTATCTTGGAAACGCTCGGAAGTCGAGACTTGTCGCGCGCGATATTTTCTGCATTCCAGCAGCGAGCAGCTGCATACCAGCTGTATATCCAAGCTTTTCTCGTGATCATCGACAGGCCGTTCAATGAGTCACGCGTAACGAATGCGTTGAAAAGCATTTTGCCGGAACGGTTTATTATCCGTTTCCGCCGTTATGGCAATTCCCCCGAATCGTCGTGTGTATCATTTTGTACCGAAGACAAGAGCCGCCTGATCAAACGTTCTCGGGCTTTCTGTTTTTGTGCTCTACCACTTTCCCCTAATGAATTTCTGTAATGAATATCCTAGAGGCAGAATCTCTCTCAAATGTTCCTTGTGCGTGCAATTATTTTCATTCTTTCGTATCGAGTGGTTTAATTGACGCTGATTGTTGAAATTTGTTAGAAAATTGTTCGTTTTTATATCCGGTTATTTTTCTAAATGCTTCCCTATCATTTTCTCGACATTTTATTTATCATTCGTTCGTATTCTACAATTTTGATAAATCTAAATCGTAGTGGACACATTTCAAATAGACTATTTAAAATAATTATTTACATATATGTATATAGTTTTGTTGAAACAAAATATTTTTGGGAAAATTATTTTTTATGAAATTAGACTACATTTTACGTTTCATTTATATGTGATTTAATAGAAAAATATTTCTTATTTCGCAAACACTATTTTTTGCCTATTTTTGTAACATAGGATAAATCAAGATAACGGATAAGGTATCGATAACCGCGATATCGATACCTTTCGATCAAACAAGCCTGCTCTTGGTTCGAAAATACAAGCCAGAACTGTTTTTGCGTTTCTTATTGCTCTCAACTCTCGGAAGGCGTCACGAGATGGACCGAAAGAGAACCGGTCCTTCTCTCTTTCCGCCGGTTGGGCCCCGCATTTCACCCGGGTTGTGTGTGTTATGTGATTCGGGTATTAAATAATTATTATTTCGCGAAAGCGAGAGTAATCGCGCGGTGTGACCGCGCGGCGCCAAGTCCCCGTCGAGGAAAGAGAGGCGCAACACGTCGGCCTCCGTGTAATTGTGGCCCAGATTCGGCGTCCTTCCCTGCGGCAATGCTGTACCACTTCCTGTATATTCCCCTCGCGCTCTCTCTTTCTCTCTCCGCTTCTTTTTCTCTGCCACCGTTTGTCCGCAAGGCGAAGCGTTCAGGAACGCAGCTCATCTTTTTACGTATCTCCCGGCTCGATCTTGGGTCGATTCGTGTAAACAAGTTATGTCTTACGTTAAATTCCACCTTTCTTGAAGAGATCTTTAAAATGCCTTAACGCTAATTCACGAAAAAATTAACATGATTTAATAAAACAAATAGGAGTCGAGCGTGCAATTTTTTTATACGCAAAACCTTGCAAAAATTATCTTCTCTCTCTTTCATCTTTTTTTTTTAACTAATGCAATTATGCAGTTTTTCTCTCTTACGCGAGCGAACAACGCGTCGTTGCACTGCGCTTTGCCGTGACTAATTATATAGGAAGAATGTACCGTACGTTCTGTTGTCCTGTGCGGAAACACAGCATTTTCAGCGTTCTCTTCATCGCCGAGCATCTTTTTTTTTGCGACATACGCCAATATCAACTCTGTGCAAATTTGTTGATTTTAATCCAGATTGTGTGAGAAAGTACGACGTGTGAAATTTTCTCTCTGAAAGGTTCGATCGCGTTGAAACGCTTCATTGGAATTCCAATTAAAAGAAATGCATCATCGTATTATACATTTGAATGCAATTTTTCTAAAAGCGTAGAGAGAGTGCATTTCTCATACAATGATGGGAACACATCAAATGTGCAGGCTATTAAAAACAATTATTTAAATAGTTTTGTTGTGATAAAAATATTAATTTTTTAAATTTATTTTCCATAAGAATAATATAAAGATATGACTACACGGGAATATTTATTTGAAATGCTGAAAGAAGTTGAATATCACAAGAGAAAAAAAATATATACTGTGAGACACGCTTTTATTTAATAAACCGTTACTTTTAGCTCTATCAACATTGATTACTCATCGATTACATATTCTAATGAAGAAAGATAATTTATCTGCAACATTCGTTTGTGTCTTCAAGAGTCCTAATGAATAATTCACAGGAAAACGACTCTTTTAAATTCCGGTCAACTAGATATCGCAATGATGACGACGATTCGCCGAAGGTCGTTTCTGACATCCGGACGAAAGTATCGCCAGAGGAAATCGCGAGAGTAGCGATATAATACAAGCAACGTCGGCGTCATCCTCATGACCTAATCCAATCCCCGAGACGCGAGACAGGAGAAATTCTTCTTCCG